TCCTCCTCCTCCTCCTCCCCCTCCTCCTCCCTCGGGCAAGAGAGGCAGACAGGCAGAGACGGGCACGCAGGGACGAGGACGGGGGCACGGGGCGGCAGGGGAGGGAGCGCGAGGGAGGGCGCGGAGGAGAGGGAGTGAGAGAGGGAGAGGCAGAGAAGGAGACAGCGAGAAAGAGATAGAGAGGGTACACGGTAGAGGGAAGACAGGCAGAGAGAGAGAGAGAGGACGATGCAGGGGTGGAACCACGGTAGACGATTCCACGGCAACCGCCTTGTCGACAGACTCGTCACTGAGATCCGGGACACCCCTGGTGGCGCGACTCACGTCAGTCCGTGGCAGACGAATGCAAACGGCCGCGCGTCCAAACCGCATCGACCCTTCTTCCGAGCTGCGGGCTGGTCCCCCCCCCCCCCGGGAGGCCACCGACCTCCCTGGAAGACACCCAGACGACCATGATAGAGGATACAGAAATCACCCGTAGATCGCGAGCTGGAACCATCGCGCGGCGGTCGGCGCTTAGCGCCAAGCGGGATGGCGCCTCGCTGCGCAGCTGGTTACGTGCGAGGGCGCGCGGGCGCCCCTGCGGTTGCGCCGCAGTGCCGTCGCGACTGCAAGCCATCGCTCCGCCACCACCACGCGGGGGGGGGGGGGCTGCAGGAGAGAAGCCGTCAGCTGCAGCCGCGCTGTTCGCGCCGGGGCCAGCGCGCGGCGCCAGGCAGCCTCCATGCTTGCCTGGATAGCCATCGCGCACGCAAGGGGAGACTCGCGCGTCGCATGCGTACGGCAGGTTCGTGTCGTGTCGACCCCGGCGTTGGTTCCTGACACCGCGGGGATCGTTCAACCTTGAACGATCGGCCGTTTCCGGAACGTCCCAATCGCTCCACATCGAACGATTCTGGGTCCCCCGCGGCGTTCAACGTTGAACGCCGCTGGCGGGGTCGCCGCTGGTCGACACGACACGAACCTACCGTAGGCCCACTCTTGGAACGCGATGCACTGCGCTCGGGTCGGCGCGCGGCGCCGGTCCACTGCCTCGCGCCGGGGTCGGCGCAGGAGAGGACGCCAGCTGCAGCCGCCACGCAGACGCCACGCGGAGTGCGTGGGGAGGGTGAACAAGGGCTCCTAAGTTCGCGCTTCGCGCTGCGCGAAGCGCGAAGCGCGAATAACTTCGCGCTCTCGCGCCGCCCTCCCAAAGGGAGAATAGGAGGACGAGGAGGAGGGGGAGAAGGATCGAGGACCGCGAAGCGCGAAGCGCGAATAACTTCGCGCCCTCGAGGGAGCCCTTGGTGAAGGGGCCCTGGGACACGCAAATAAATGCACACAGTTCTGGACAAGGAGGAGACTCCGACAGACAACAAAGCAGGACAGGCGATGAATCAGATAGATGACGGAGGCAGATCAGATACGGACGCGCAAGAAGGGACGAAGGTCGCGTCAGGGAACCAAACCGCAGACAGACAGAGACGAAGCACGTGACGAAGGCAAAGAGACAAACTGCGACAACAGGAAAGGGGGGAGAAGATTCCCTCTCCTTGTCCTCGTCCTCCCCCTTTACCATCACAATCCCAACACCTCCGACGTCCTGTTATCTTCCGTGATTTGGGCTTCCCGAGCTCGCAGTCCCATCCTGAACACATGTTCTCGAGGTCCCCAGGACCGAGAAGCGGCATCTGGACGCCGAAAATGAAAGGGAACGTGGCCGCCGCGAGGTCTGTTCCCAGTCAGGCTTTGCCCAGGGGCGCCTGCTCCTTTCATGTGGCGGGGGCTGGCGGTGATTGATACCCTCCCCGCCAGGGTCCTCGGGGGGTTCATGAGGAGCTGCTCGGGGGTACCAGGGGAGTTCCTCGAGGGTTCTTCTGGATTCCTCGGGGGGGGCCAGGCATTCCTTGGGGGTTCCCCGTGGGTTCTTCTGGAGTTCCCCAGGGTTCATCTGGGTTCCGTTGTTTCGCAGTCAGGTGTGTTGTGCTGCTATGCGGTGCGTTGCTTGCTCTGCCTTTGCTTGCCGTCCTAAACTTGCACAGCTAAATGGTGCTATGCAAAACAGTGATATGCCATGTGACGCTATGCACGGGCAGAACGTGATGTCGCATGATATGCTATGCCATGAAAGGATGTACAGTGTCATAGTGAGAGGCTGCACAATGTAAGTTGATGCGCTAAGCCAGCATGTGTGATGCGACGATGTGCTGCACGCACCATGCAATGCTACGCGAGGACGTACAATCATACGCCATGCCACACCATGACATGCCCATGCTCGTGCTGGGCAATGCACGTGCGTACGTCACGGTATGATGGCCGACGCAACACCGACGCTTCTTATGCAATACAATGTAAGGACATGCTGCGCTGCACTGTACTGCACACTGCTCTAGAATACAACCTCTTCTTCCAGGGAATACATGTGCGACAACGGATGGCGAGAAAGGCACGAAACGCGGAGGCAGGCACCTCCCGACTGAGCCGCTCTATAAAATCCAACAACCAGGTGACAGGTGGCCTGGCCCGTCCATGGTAACGGAACGGTGGCAGGAAGATGGCAAGGTACAAGCTCCTCCTCATCCTCCTCCTCCTCATCTACCTCCTGCCGTCATCCTCACACATATGGTGTGCGCCTTCTTACCATACTGGTATTCAGCGTCCTGCTACTCCTCCTCCTCCTCCTCCTCCTCCTCCTCCTCCTCCTCCTCCTCCTCCTCCTACTCCTCCTCCTCCACCTCCTCATCCTCCTCCTCATCCTGCTGCTCCTCCTCCTCCTCCTCATCAGCAGCATCAGCAGCATCAGCAGCATCAGCAGCATCAGCAGCATCATCACCAGCATCATCATCATCATCATCATCATCATCATCAGCAGCAGCAGCAGCAGCATCATCATCATCATCATCATCAGCAGCAGCAGCATCAGCATCAGCATCAGCATCAGCATCATCATCATCATCATCATCATCATCATCATCATCATCATCATCATCATCATCATCATCATCATCATCATCATCGTCGTAATCAGCATCATCATCATCCTCCTCATCATCATCGTCAGCATCAGCATAATCATCACCATCATCATCAGCATCATCATCAGCATCATCATCAGCATCATCAGCATCAGCATCATCATCGGCATCATCAGCATCATCATCAGCCTCATCATCATCATCAACAGAATCGGCATCAGCATCGTCATCATCATCGTCAGCAGCATCATCGTCAGCAGCATCAGCATCAACATAATCAGCATCACCACCACCACCACCACCACCTCCTCCTCCTCCTCCGCCTCCTCATCCTCATCCTCCTCATCGTCCGCGTCCTCCTCCTCATCACCATCATCAGCATCGTCATCAGCATTGTCATTAGCATCAGCATCATCATGAGTACCACAATCACCATCAGCATCCGCATCATCATCAGCAGCAGCATCATCAGTGTCAGCAGCACCATCATCATCAGCAGCATCTTCACCTTCATCAGCATCAGGGCAGCATCATAATCAACATCAGCATCAACCACAACATCATCATCAGCATCATCAGCATCATCATAATCGTCATCATCATCGTCATCATCATCAGCATCATCCTGAACACCATCATCAACAACAGCATCAGCATCACCACCACCAGAATCATCATGAGCATCACCATCACGATCACCATCACCATCATCATCATCATCATCATCATCATCATCATCATCATCATCATCATCATCACATCATTATCATCCTCATCATCAAAATCAGAATCATCATCAGCATCGTCATCAGAGTACCACTACAATCATCATAATCAGCATCATCAGCATCATCATCAGTATCACAATCACCATCATCAGCAGCATCAGTATCATCTGCAGCATCAGCATCAGCATCAGCATCCGCATCAGCATCAACATCATCATCATCATCATCACCATCATCATCATCATCATCATCATCATCATCATCAGCATCAGCATCAGCATCATCAGCATCATCATCATCGACATCATCATCATCCCGACCTCCTCTTCATCGTCCTCATGATGTGGTCATCCGCGTCACCCTCTTCCTCTTCCTCTTCCTGTCCTCCTCCAACACTTCGTGTCATCCCTATCATCCTCTTGTCGTTGACCTCCATTCGTTCCCCCCACTGCCGAAGTCCTACACTCACGGGATACCCGAGACGACCCCAAAAGGAGCCCAAGAGAGTGCACGAACCGAAAATCCGAGCGTTTCGCCCCACAAGGCCCCCAGGAGGCACCCAGGAGGCCCCAAGAGGCCCCCCAAAAGGCCCCCAAGAGGCCCCCAAAAGGCCCCCAAGAGGCCCCAAAGAAGCCCCAAGGGGCACCGAAACGGCCCCAAAGAGGCGCCGAAACGGCCCCGAAGACGTTTTCAAACTGCCTCCAAGAGGCCCCCCGCAAGATCCAACAGGCTTCACACCCACACGCCCCAAGCCTGGTGGCGGGATGGGCCGAAGGCCATCAGGTAACTCGGGCCTAAGGTAATTCTGGCTCGAGCCCCCGACGCACGAACGAAGAGTCATCCCTGATCACCCCCAGCCCCAATGACTCGGGAGTGGTTGGGCGCCCGAACTATCTGGGATACTAGAGGCCTCCTAGATGGGGTCCGAATAGATGGGGTCGGAGGATCTCGCCGCATCGCCGATACATCGGCGATGCATCGGCGATGCATCGGCGATGCATTGGCGACGTCGGCGGTGCCTCGGCGACGTCGACGTGGAAAGAATCGGGCCCCACATCGAGCCGCATCGGCGATGCCTCGGAGATGCGGCGCGATCCTCCGACACCATCTACTCCGACCCCATCTGGGCGGAGGAGGAGGAGGAGGAGGAAAAGGGGGGGAGGAGGAGGAGGGGGAGGAGGAGGGGAGGGTAGGAGGAGGAGGGGAGGAGGAGGAGGAGGAGGAGGAGGAGGAGGAGGAGGAGGAGGAGGAGGAGGAGGAGGGGGAGGGGAAGGAGGGGGGAGGAGGAGGAGGAGAGGAGGAGGAGGAGGGAGGAGGAGGAGGGAGGAGGAGGTAGGAGGAGGAGGGGAGGAGGAGGAGGAGGAGGAGGAGGAGGAGAGGAGGAGGAGGGGGAGGAGGAGGGGAGGAGGCCTAGTCGTGCGCAGCTCTAACGCAGGACAGCTCCGGCCCGGGGGGGCGCGCAAGAGGCACGCAACGCAGCGGGAGTCACCCCTGCCCACCCGCGCCCGGGCGACGCGGAGTTCTGGGTGGTGCCACTGGAAGACGAAAGGTCCTTCAGCTCCGCGCGTCCCTCATCTCCTCCTCATCCTCTCTCCTCCCCTCCTCCTCCTCCTCCCTCCTCCTCCTCCTCCTCCATCCTCCTCCTCCTCCCCCTCTGCTCCTCCTCTCCCTTCCTCCTCCTCCTCCTACCTCCTCCTCCTCCTCCTCCTCTCCTCCTCCTCCTCTCCTCCTCCTCCTCTCCTCCTCCTCCTCCTCCTCCTCCTCCTCCTCCTCCTCCTCTTCTTTTGATTATTACGATGATGGTTCACTGTATTACCAGTCTCCTCCGTAGAAATATGATTGCTTTCATTATGAACAGTATTCTTATTATGAGTATTACTATTTTTAGTAGTCGTATGTATTGTTCGTATTCTTGTTAGTTTTCACATGATTATCATTATTGGTCTTCGTGGTTGTTTCTTATTTGTCTTCGCTGTCTCCTTCTGATTATTATTTTTATGAATACTCGCATTAGTGACATTCCTCTTACTAGTTTTAGTATGGATATGCCAAGTAGTATCATTATTATTAGTCGTATTCATCGTCTGATTCGTAATCCTCTTCCTCCTCTTCTTCCTTTTCTTCATCTTGGCCCTCTTCTTCCTCGTCTTCCTCCTTCTCCTCCTCCTCCTCCTCCTCCTCCTCCTCCTCCTCCTCCTCCTCCCCTCCTCCTCCCCTTCTCCTCCTCCCCCTCCTCCTCCTCCGCCTTCTCTTCCTTCAGAGGTCCTCGTGGATTCCTGGGGGTCTGCGCTGGACCCCCTCCCTGCGCGCGGAGCGCGCTGGGGGCGACGCCCGAAGCACCGCCAGGGGTGGGCCCAGCGACAGTGCCTCGCCGAACGTCATGGACGTGTAATTCCTCTGGCCGCGTCGCGCCTACGCGGCCAGGTGTTCGCGAAATCCGCGAGTCCACGACATCAGCGTGAAACCACCCAGCGCCTAACGGCACATTAGCGCTTAACTTGGTCTTCTCGTCGAACGCCGGCAGCGACGCGTTCAGACAGAGCGCCTCGTCCGTGTTGCACAAGCAAAAAGCAAATGCGGTATAAAAGTCCGTGCGCTGCTCGCGCCGAATGGGACCGCAAACGGGAAGTATTGCCTGCAACCTGTAGCAGGCCCCGCCGACTCTGCCGAAACAGCTCCGACGGTACACACAACAGGAAATCGCATGTAATCACAGCTATCAGGCACCACCACATCCGGCCTTGCGGGAAGGCGTGCCGCAACCAGGCCTTCAGCAACGCGTTGTCCACACGCTGCCTGGGCAGACGGTGCCCAGCCAGACGTCGCGCAAATGGACGTCGCGGTCGCCACATGGGGTGCCGTGGCCCACGCGCTCAGCCACCCGCGCAGCGTGGCGGCATGCGTACACGCGGTGGGACCCTACGAATGTGCTGTACACTGCAGGGCAGTTTTGAATACATGGGATTTGTTTTTAATACATGAAATTAATACATGATTAATTTCTGCACAAATTTACGCATGAAGTCATCGTTGTTTTAAATACTAAATCCATGCATTTTTAATACATGATCCGCACGCGGAGCATTATTAAAAACGGCACTGTACACTACATACACCCCGACCGAGGCCCACCTCGAAGCCCACACGCCCACGCAATCACGCGCAAGTGCGATGCGCAAGTCGAGAACGTCGATGGCACCGACTTTCGACCACCGTACCCGCCAGCAGGAGCAGGTCGGCAGCCAGAGCGCGGGCCTCCATCATCACGAGCCGCACGTCGCGCGGAAACGCACCATCTGGACGCACTGCAGAAAATCCTCTGCCCGGGCTTAGCGTTTGCGTCATGTTGGCAGTTTCCTTGCCCACAACCCAGCGGGAACAGTCCACCACGTCCCGCGAACCAAATCTCAGCAGGGCCACGCGCGCACGCTGCGCCGCCAAAACTGGCATGCACCGAAGAGTGCTGACAATGCGCGGACAGCCGTGCCGCTGCCACTGCTACCTGGCGAACAGGCGCCAGCGCGCTCACCGGGGCTGCGCCCGGCGCCGCCAACGACCCCACCCGGCCCATGGGCGACCGGCAAAGAAGCCAGCGCGGCGGCGCCTGGAACGCCACATGGGCCGATGGCTCTAGCTGGGCGCGCCAGACTCCCAGCGGGTAGCGCAACGGCGCGCACCAATGGAAACGCGAGCCCATGCCAGCGGGATGGCCAGCGCACTGGCAAGCACGAACCAATACGAGGGCGGCCCTGGACACGCTCCCTGCCCCCACGGGGGAAGGGGGACGCAAGGGAGAAGCGAGCGACGACTGCAAA